TCTGTTTTAAATTTAAAATAAGTAATTTGTTCGAAGTTTTAAAAGTAACGGACACTTTATGATTTTAAATAAGGGCACTTTCAGCTCATCGCTCATTCAACTTAAGCCTCTCTGTTTTATTGTCCTGATCGAATCCCAAATCTGTAGACTATGGAATGCCATATACGACAGCCAACTGCTTACTGCCAACTGCTGACTGCTTACTGCCACCTGTCAGCTGCTTACTGCCAACTGCCACACATATTTGAATAAAATTTATTTTTATATCAATATTTATGTAAATTAAAAAAAAAGGCGCGGATCTATAGGACATTTTTTTTCCAAGAGCGTCACTCTGGTAAAAAAAAAATCCAACCCAGAAATTTCTTGACAAGAAAAAAATACGTATTTTAGTCCTTTCCTAAATGTGAAAATTTATTTCGGCCAGGGAGAGGGGGTTCTTATGCGTCATACCTTCATGTGTATGACATTTTTATACCAACTTAACACGAATCCACATTTTCGGTTGGGGAGGGGGGGGGGGGGTTCTAAGGTCCCTTTTAGTTGATTTATTTTATAAATTAAATAACTTTTAGTTGGTTCATTTTGTGCATTAAATAACTTTACAAATTTCAGAGGGGTTTTCCGGACCCCTCTTTCGAGATCTATGCATGTAAAACATATTTTATTTGTACAAACAAAGAGATATAAATGTTTGATCGGCGTTTTCTAAGTGGGTTGGGGGGGGGGGGGTCCAAGGTCAGTTATACCGGTTGTTCGTTTAGTTTATTTAACGTATGACTGAACAAATTTTAAATCCCCCCCATCTACATGTATGCATGTGAAACATTACAACACACAGAGATATACATCTTTAATTTGAAGAAATTTTTAACTATAGAATATAATGGACAACGAAAATTTATTTTCAAAACATCTTTCTCTGCGAAACGACAAATCTTTTTTATTATTATTCTCTCTTCAAAGGTCTCCGGGGGGGGGGGGGGCTTCTTTAAAGATTAAAAGAAGAAAATAGTCATTTACAAATAAAAAAAATTTAAAACAATGTACTTTATCAACCGCATTTATTGAATATTACATAAGATAAAACATATTGGTCATTTTATTCAATTCAATTTTACCAGGGTGACTCCCTTGGAAAAAATGTCCTGGATCCGTGCCTTTTTTTCCTTTTTTTGGTGAAAATTCATATAAATATCAATACAAATACAAAATTTATTCAAATATGTGTGGCAGTTGGCAGTAAGCAGCTGACAGTTGGCAGTCAGCAGTTGGCTGTCGTATATGGCATTTCATAGTAGACAGTTACTCCATATGAAAGACTCTAGTATATTTATAAATTTTTATTTAGTCTACTGACAAACTGGATACAAAAAGTAATGTTTATATACCCCCAATATAACTCAAACACTTTCAGAATAGATGGCTGTTCAAATACTCGTTAGATTTCACAGATTATATTCTTGATTATGTATATCAAGAAATGTAAATTGTTTGAATCATTTCAATGCGAATTACATTTTTCTTGCTAAAAAATTAAAATGTATAATTATGTATACAAAAAAAAACTATACATACAAATGATGTTACTTTATATGCTACTACTTATATATAGCTATTACTCTGGCCATCTTTAGATATTGTATGCTTGACCTCTCCGGATCAACTGACTATAATTAGTCCAACTGAAGTCATTTTTAACCTCCAAAAAATCGAAACAATAACTTTTTATGTAATCTGGTATATAGATTTAAGAAATTAGGCATTGAAATCGACATTTTCTGAGAAATTTTTTTTTTCATCAGCTATACCTACCCTCCATTTTTTTCAATTTGTCTCGCAATTCATGACATTTTTAGGATAAAAGACGGAATCAAATGTTAAATTCACACTCATCCCCCCCAAAAAAAAACCAAAACTAAATTCACATGACTTCCAGTATGAATTGTTGAATGTTGATCCAAAGTAGACTTGGCATAATACATGTAGTATGGGGTAGGGCAGTTTCTTACTTTTTAAGTTAATGTATTCAAAATTTATCCTATTTCTTTATTATTTTTACTTTATTTTCAGTGCAAGTGCAAGTGTATCTTTTTCTTTATAGGCATCTTACATTATTAATCTGTTTTTTTTATAACCCCCCTAAAAATAATGCCACATACCCCGGATATCAAGTCGGCACATTTTCACATGACTGTACATAAAATACGAGGGTTGTCCCGTAAAATCGTGGACAAGTTGTCTAGTGTAAAAAATAAACATCACAGCGTTCTGAAATTTTCAATATTATTTAGTACATATTTTAGTAATATACACAGCAAATTACAGATAAATATATGCATAAATAAACAAATTATGAGATTTTATGCCATGTATTGTATCACCTTACGGCGCATGGATTAAAACGTCAAAGTGTCTAAAACAGCGCCACGTTTTATCTTTGCTAAAAATGAAATTGGATGCGTCCGACTTAGATTTAGGAATTTCATTGATACACATTCTTTAGTCTCCATAAACAGTCGAAGAACCAATTGGCACCCTCATGCGATCTTCTGAAGATTTATCAGTGAGTTACGGACAATATTCTCATCATCATTCAACTAATAGAAAATCTCATACCGGCGGTCTACTGTGACAGCGCGTCTTTTGCTATTACATTAGGAGTTTGTCCGCATGTTTTGTACTCCCCAGGGACTCATCAAAAAAGACTTCGCTAAGAAAACTCCTATTTCATTTGTATAGTTAAGATATGGTGATATTTTTATAATCTTTTTTTCTTCTATGGTCACTTCAAGTCTTTTACATCGAATTATAACGGAACTGCTCTCCCGTGCGCCGTAACGTCATAAAACGTCGCCATTTTTCGTGTGTTGTGTTTACCACTTTCCCATTTCGAATGCTCGAGAAACTGCCAAAAATTAACCAAATGCCTTAGAATTTTTACAAAGACTACAAAATTGATTGTGGAATTGAATAAGTATAATTTTAATCCAAATCTTAAGTATTTAAAACTTTTATTTTGAATTCAAACTTGTGTATTCTTTAATAAATCATGTTTTTTTTTTTTTGTCCGTGCGCCGTAGGACAATACCCCGTGCACATTCAAGCATAATAAAATCTTTATTTTTAATTATATTTTATCAAAAAAATTATCATGCACTTAAATATGAAAAATAAACATTTACTGAAATTTTCAGCTTAGTGCGCCCATTACTTTTCGAGAAAAACGCTTTGTCCACGATTTTACGGGACAACCCTCGTAAAACCTGATATTGGTAAAATATTTTTCTTCAATGTATTCTTAATAAACAGGTCCTTATCAACGATTTTCTGAGTTGTGAATTTTCGGTATACCTTTACTTTATCTTTCATGTATATGTGTTCTTTGCGCGTGTATAAACCCTAAAGCAACAAAAGTGAGAGGGACAGCAATCAGATAAAACTACATAATAAACAAATTTACAGTAAAAGACTATTCTCAGGAAAAAAGGGGGGCCACTATGGCCTTATAAAGAAATTAATAGATTTTTTTTTAAAAAAAGCACATGTTTCACTTCTATTTAAAGTCAAACAACAATGCAAGGATAGAAAGTTTATGACAATTTTAAGTATAGTTTGATTCAAGAACTTACTTCTCTGGATAATTAAGAGATGTTGACAGAAGTCAAATAAAGCAATAAAATAAAACATTTAAAAATGGAGTTATAAATAAATGGTCTAATTAGTAATTTGTGCAATACTTTTTTTCAAATGATAGCTTAACTTAATAGCATCTGAAAAGGTCCGGTGCCAGAAAATGCATCTGTCAGAAAGGGGCCGTTTCCTTAACAAAAATTACATGTCCCGCTTTTATTAAAATTACTGAGATGCTTTAAGCTTCATTAGCATTGCTGGGTTTCTTAAATTCACAAGAAGACAACAATGTTCATTTTATATCATAATATAAACGATTTCACGCAAATATCAACATTTAAAGGGGCCTTAATTCGTCTGCGCGATCGCTTGTTTGATCAAATTGAAACGTTTCATGAGCTAAAATGGTAATTGCATGGCAATAAACTATAGCTCACTAAGGTATATGAATATCGCTGATATTCCGTGGAAGCAAAATTACATTCACTAACCCTTTCCTTTCTCTTAATGAACTCATTTTTTTGCCGAAGACTCCATTGTTGTTTTGAAAATTTAGCAGAAAGTATCCGTTAATTCTGCTGAAAGGGTCCGTTTCAGCGAAAAGGGTCCGTTATGCATATACACCGTGTACCTATTATCAACCGAATATTTTTAATCTCAACTTTGGAGTAATTTGAATACAATCAGAGTTTTAATTTTGCAAAAGACTCATGACAGGTAAGTAAATTTGCGAGATCCATTTTTATTGGGGAAAAAAGTTGACTGTGATGACAAGAAGTTGCATATTTTGATGATTTTTTTTTTTATTTATGTAAAAATTTATGCAGTCTAAGTTTCTTGTAGTTAGAATCATAGGCGCTTGGTTACAGGATGGTGTATTTTGTGTATTATGTATTTTTATATGTGTGCCTGAATACACTCATCGAAATAAAAATAAAAAATCGCCGAAATTAGCACGTTTTAAAAAATGTTATATTAACTTATATACTCTTTTTATATACAGTAAATATGACATTTTTAAAACGTGCTAATTTCGGCGAATTTTTATTTTTATTTCGATGAGGGTATTCAGGCACACATAGAAAAATACATAATACACAAAATACACCATCCTGTAACCAAGCGCCTATGGTTAGAATAATCTGTGTCTCGGTACAAGCCCTCAACAAACCGGGTCCGTAGGACAAATATCATTTTAACGATAGAACATTCTATCTAACTTTCTTGTAGCTATTAAGGGACAAGTAAATGTGTTTTTGTTTAAATTCCAGTCCATGCATATGTCTCTTGATTTTTCCGGAATAGGGTCAGAATTTATGTCTTAGTTTTCCCCTTTTGATTTCCGGTTGACACTGACAGCTGTTTCCTTCTTTTTCATACACTACAGTACAGGTTCAGGCTGATACAGTGCAGTTTTCTATGTGTAGAAGCGTGTTCCCAGGTAATTAATATTTACAGGACAGTTAGCAAATATTCAAGACACCATCCATCATTTTTATTAATGACTTGCATGTAAAGGAACACCTTGTGATGAAATCCCCACTGTTTCCCTCGTGCTTTTTCGGTTTTTGTCATTTTTTTTAATCAGAAAAATTCTCCTGATTTAAAAAAAAAAATGATTTCCTAATAATTTTAGAGAACTTGAGATTTTAAATAAAGTGTTTTTTCTTCCAAATACGCTATTGTTTTCTTTTTTAGTGAAAAAACTGGCCTGCAAACTATGGAAGAATCAGAGATCATAAGACTCAATGTTGGTGGACATATTTACACTACCACAAGGTCTACCCTTGTTAGGTATCCAGACTCAATGCTGGGAGCGATGTTTAAAGGTGATATCCCATCCAAAGTGGATCAGGATGGAAACTTCTTCATTGACCGAGATGGACAAATGTTCAGATACATCCTGAATTTTTGTAGATCTGGAAAACTTTGCCTGCCACAACAATTTTCTGATTATGATTTACTGGAAAATGAGGCTGATTTTTACCAAATTGAACCCTTGATAACCAGCATCACATCTTCACGACAGAACGCAATGAAAGAAAGTCAAGAGTTCAATTACATAGAAATTGTGGAAGAGAATCTTCATTCACTTTACAGTGGTTCTCTTCTCGATGCATTTACGACGTTAGATGGGAGGACTACTGATCTAACGGCAATTCCAGGAATTAGCACTTATGGAAAATCACCAGAGATTCTCAGTTCATTTTACAGTAGACTGACACTCAGTATACGTGGTTTGAGATTAGAGATAGGCGAGTTTCTCAGCAAGCAAGGGTGGATAAAAGAACATAGTAATTTATCATTCTCAAAATCAAGCTCAAGAGGCGATTTTGTCGAGAAAAAGATATATAGAGAAGTTTGGAAAATATGCAGGAAAAATCACTAAATATATGCAATATATTCTATCACATGTATATGATATTTCTTGATTAAATTGTACGACAAGTTTGAAGAAATGGGCTGAAATCTCAGAAACAGAAGCTAGAACATGTCGAGATTTTTTTAAAATGAATATATTTACTATTCTGGTTGCCATTAAATACTTTTTTGAAAAATATTTAAAGAATTCATTGCATGGACTACGAAAGACGAATAGGGCCACAAAAAATATTTTTATCTCGTAATTACGAGAAAAGATCTCGTTATTACGAGTTAATTATCTCGTTATTACGAGAAAAGATCTAGTAATAACGAGAAAAGATCTCGTTATTACGAGTTAATTATCTCGTAATTACGAGAAAAGATCTCGTTATTATGAGTTAATTATCTCGAAATTACGAGTTAATTATCTCGTTATAACGAGAAAAGATCTCGTAATTACGAGAAAAGATCTCGTTATTACGAGTTAATTATCTCGTAATTACGAGTTAATTATCTCGTTATAACGAGTTAATTATCTCGTAATTACGAGAAAAGATCTAGTTATTACGAGTTAATTATCTCGTAATAACGAGAAAAGATCTCGTTATTACGACTTAATTATATCGTTATAACGAGAAAAGATCTCGTTATTACGAGTTAATTATCTCGTAATTACGAGAAAAGATCTCGTTATTACGAGAAAAGATCTTTAAAAAATGGTGCGTTTCACTGTTCTACTCTCTCTTAATGTAAAATGGATGAACCTACGGAATTCATAAAATTAGTAAAAGAAATATCAGAATAAGGAGCAAAGCAGATCATATGCTGTTTATTAATTCTTCAATGCATTTACAGTAACTCCATCGAACCTGCACTTGTATGGAATGTCATTTTTGATACTCTTTTTTATTACCAAGCAATAAATTAATATAGAATCTCTAATGGTTTGCGATGGTATATGAATTTATATAACGTGTTGTGTGTTTTCTATCCCCGAGCCTTTGCAACCCATGAGATTGTTTTAATCACATGATTTATCCTAGTCGTGTAGTTAAACTTTGAGTTTTTGTCAACTTTACAGTCGTTTTTTTTAGTCGCAAATAACGTTTGCTACGTGACGCCAATATTTTTACACAAGAAGAATATGTCCCTTGCATGCACAACAGATAAACATAGTCATTTTCGAGCAGATATTTTTTAAAATATATTTTTTAAAGCAAGTTTACAAAACGAAGTGGAAAGGGTAATATTTTATCTGATAATGTATATGATTTAACTTTTCACATGTTTTTAAACAAATTAATAACGTACATTTGTTAGAAATCAAATAAATGTAATTAAACACTTCTGTTTAAATACTGTAGATGTCCCATTCCACCATTGAATACATAACAAATTTAAATTTATAACGTTCCCTTACAATTTAACAGGACAAAAATTTGACTTTTTAATTTTATTTGTGATAGCACTGGAATGCCTGCAGTTATGTGAAAAAAAGTTTTTTTTTTATAAGTATATAAGTATTTTGTAACAGTTTATTCATATAAAATAAGCTACATATAAAGTAACAATAAAGTTTTAAAAAGGCAATTTTCAATTACTAGTAATTGTTAGAAATCAAATAAATGTAATTAAACACTTCTGTTTAAATACTGTAGATGTCCCATTCCACCATTGAATACATAACAAATTTCAATTTATAACGTTCCCTTACAATTTAACAGGACCATGTACATGAACGTATTTATAATGACATTCTCCTTGCTCAAAAAAATTATTAAATGAGAACCTGACATTTGGTTTGTCGATCAACAGCTGTTCAATGAATTTCTCAAACATATTTCAATTTGATGCACATCTAACTTGCAACAGCGTCTAAATTAAGGTCACATTATTCTTGCAATAAAACCCTGTATAATCGAACTTCTGCACGAGGCATAATCTAATATGTATTAAATATCTAATATCATAAGTATATATTCGTAAAATCATTATTGCAAGTTTTCATTTATTTGAAATTTTTAAATAAACTTTTTAGATGAGTATTTTTCTAAGAATTTTTCTTCTTTTCCATACTTGTCCTTCTTTTGTCGAGATAGATCGCCGAAAAATGACAATGCTGCATTAAGACAATGGACTGTTTTAAAAAGAACGGATTCAAACACGGCTGAATTTTACTAGAATCCATGAAAAACATTAATTTTAGAAACTCTGATAATCTATCATCCAAGAACATATTAAGAGCATATCAAAATCCTGCAAATTATTATGTGTGAATTATGTTTTAATAAGTGATTTAAAATTAAAATTGAGTTATTAATCACTTTGAAGTATGTTTTGTTGCCTTGTTATTTTGCATGATAACAATATGACTTTAATTTGTGCGAAAAACCATGCGAGTTTAAAAAGTGCGTTGAGATGTATGTATAATAGAATAGATCTAAATTGATAAGTTTGGTCAGTACATGAACAGATTAGAGCCTTTGCTTTATGAAATTACATTAAGGGTAAATTAGATTTATTGTATGCATGCATAATTATTAAACCTATTTAAAAACAATATTTTAAGGTCGATATCTAGTCGGTACGGAAACGTATAACCGCCTCGTGTTGTTGTTTTAGAACACGGTATTGTGATATAAAAATGTTGTCAAATACAATTACTTCAAGGTTTGGCGATTTAATTACGACAACAATCTCTGATTTATAATACTTTTCTGATATATTTTAGACGACTTATACACTTTGATAAATTCAAGTTGAATTCCTAAATGTTGCACTAAAATAATGTGTAAAAAGTATGTCGCTAAAATTAAATATCGCAGAAATAAGTGCAATATAACATATATGAAGATTTCGCTTAGACGACTCGATTTAATCAAAGAGCAAAATTCAACAAAATTAGAACGTCTTGTAACATCAGATTTATTAATATTAACTATTGTATGAGTGTGTGCTTTTTTAAGGACCCGAGCCACTCTTTGAAAAACGTAGCTACGGGCCTGATTTTCATTCTCCGTAATTGATTTAATTTTTTTTTTAAAAATCTAAATTTACCACTGTCTCAATGATTTTTTTCTCAGAATTAATTTAAAATAAATTAGCAGTTTTTACAGTGTTATAATTGTTTATATATTGTTTATATATTTGCTTTTTAAATGTACTCAAAGAACAACTTCATAATATATGTTTGTATAAATTATATTATAAATCTTAATTTATCAAATAAATCAAAGCACGATTGAGAGGGGGGGGGGTTGTGCCTGTGACAGCACTAACTATAATGAGCTTGTGTGTTATCTATCGTAAAGAAAGAGGACAAAATGCAAATCATTTCGTTCATTTTATCAATCTACACATCATGTTAAAAAATACATAAGAGTATGTGCAGACGTACGATCAATTTTTTTCCATTGAATTATCAAAGAAAATATACAACTTTCTCTTTTAATTTTGAATTTTTAATAGTTTGAAGTCATATTCAATAATGCATGACATCACATCAGACGAAAATATTTGATGCATATATTTCTGCGTATGGTCTCCAAGCTAAGAACATGATTAAAGATTTCGTTATCATAGTTTGAATAGTACAAGTATTATCAAATAGAGTGACTGTCCTTTGAAGCAAAATTCATGAGATTTATTATTTAGGGAAGAATCTGCAAGGATACTATAAATATTTGAATTATTTTATTTAAATCAGACATCAATTCAATGCAGTACGTTATATTAAGGATGAAATTCATTTTCTCCTTGTATGTCCTCATCGTAATGTACAAACACTTGAACTCATAAATATTCGTAAAATTAAATGTAAAAATTTTCAGTCTTTATCTTATGATAATCAATTTTATTGGCTCATGACTAATGAAGACCCTGGCATCCTTAGATCACTTGTTAGTATAATGTACTTTTTCCCCCGTTTCTTGCCTTTGACTATAATTAAATTATAACATATACAATACATTTATGTATATTGAGTATATCTCTTACATACATTTTTATTAATTGCTCTCATTATCATGAATGTTCAATAAATTGGATCCTCCTCCTTCTTTTGTTTGTAAATCTTTTTTGCTCTTTCATGGGCCCAAATTGGACTGATAAATTCTTGTATCTTGCATACATTTTATGTTACATGTCGTTCAAATTTTGTTGAATTTTGCTCTTTGATTAAATCAAGTCGTCTAAGTGAAATCTTCATATATAGTATATTGCACAAGTTTCTGCGATATCTAATTTAAGCGGCATAATGTTTACACAATATTTTAGTGCAACATTTAGAAATTCACCTTGGATATATCAAAGTGTATTAGTCGTCCAAAAAATGTCAGAAAAGTGTTATTCATCAGAGATTGTTGTCATAATCAAATCACCAAACCTTGAAGTAATTGTATTTGGCAACATTTTTATATCATCAAATCGTGTTCTAAAACAACAACACGAGGCGGTTATACGTTTCCGTAAGTCGGAGATTTCAAAATCTATTATTCGAATGTATCTGTCCATTACGAAAGACGAATAGGGCCACGTAAAAAAATTTTTTATCTCGTAATAACGAGAAAAGATCTCGTTATTACGAGTTAATTATCTCGTAATTACAAGAAAAGATCTCGTTATTACGAGTTAATTATCTCGTGATTACGAGAAAAGATCTCGTTATAACGAGTTAATTATCTCGTTATAACGAGAAAAGATCTCGTTATTACGAGTTAATTATCTCGTAATAACGAGTAAATCATCTCGTTATAACGAGAAAAGATCTCGTTATTACGAGTTAATTATATCGTTGTTAAGATATGTTTCTGTTTTGTTTTTGTTTGTTTGCTTGTTTGTTTGTTGTTGTTGTTGTTGTTTGGGGGGAGTGTACAATGTATGTATTATCGATTTTCAACTCAGTATTTTGTTTACTCGATATATGAGAATAAAACTGAAAAAAAAAATGCCATGAAACGCCACACATTTTTAAAATGTGAGTTGCTATATCCGGTGGATATTACTCGTTTAATTTGATATTACACTGTGTGTTTTTACGCGGCTTGGCGTCATATAAAGACAATACTTACTAGTAATTGAAAATTGCCTTTTTAAAACTTTATTGTTACTTTATATGTAGCTTATTTTATATGAATAAACGGTTATAAAATACTTATATACTTATAAAAAAAAACTTTTTTCACATATGATAACTACA